CCTGGCCACACTCTTTTTTTTTTTTTTAAAGCTCTGTGAGTGCCTCTCAGAGGTATATGGACATACACACTGTGTTACACACTCGCCTTCTGTCCTGCATTGAATCACAGGTATTCACACACCTTAGTCTCTATTTTTCTTTTTTTTTTGGTTTTTCGAGACAGGGTTCCTCTGTATTGTTTTGGAGGCTGTCCTGGAACTCACTTTGTAGACCAGGCTGGCCTCGAACACACAGAGATCCGCCTGCCTCTGCCTCCCGAGTGCTGGGATTAAGGGTGTGCGCCACCAATGCCCGGCTCCTTAGTCTCTATTTTACTAGACACTGAGCCACTCGAAGCAGACAGCAAGACCCTACAGCTGAGCGAGGGCTGGCGTCCCGTGCATACCTGAAACAAATCACTGGGTTTTAGTGTGTCTGTTGATCCATCTTGCTTGCGTGTGCCGTAGTGCAGAGGCAGAGGTCAGAAGACAGCTTGTGGGAGTCAGCTGTCTGTTTCCACCTGAGGACTGAATTCTGGTTACCAAGCTTGGCGGCGAGCACTTTTACCGACTGAGCTATCTATCCAGCCCAAAACAACTATTTGATGGTAACTTCAGCAGGAAGTTGGGTAGGTATAATGGCTCATACTTTTAATCCCAGCATACCGTAGGTAGAGGCAGGAAATATCCATGAGTTTGAAGCCAGCTTGTTCTACACGGTGAATTCCAGGCTAGCCAGAGATATATACACAGTTTTTTTGTTTTGTTTTGTTTTTTGTTTCTGGTTTTTCGAGACAGGGTTTCTCTGTGGCTTTGGAGGCTGTCCTGGAACTAGCTCTGTAGACCAGGCTGGCCTCGAACTCACAGAGATCCGCCTGCCTCTGCCTCCCAAGTGCTGGGATTAAAGGTGTGCGCCACCAACGCCCGGCTTTTGTTTTGTTTTTTAATTTCCACTCTATCTCCTGACAGCCTACAGCAATAACCCTGAGCTCTAGTGATAAGCTGTATGCTGCTTGCTTGGCTCGTGCAAGTGGTTATAACTTCAGATATGCTGTGATCTGGTTGTTACACAGGCATTACTAAAAGTTAAATTATAGGGAGAGATGGCACGGTGATTAAGAGCACTGGCTGCTCTTGCAGAGGACCTGAGTTCAATTCCCAGCACCCACATGGCGGCTCACAACTGCCTGTAGCTCCAGTCAGAGGGGATCCAATGCCCTTTCCTGGCCTCTTCGGGCACTGTGTGCACGTGCTGCATATACACACATGTGGGCAAAACACTCATACACACTAACATAAAAAGTCTAAAAATTTGTCTAAATTAAATTTCATAACCGTATACTTAGATGACTTTAAAGCAAGATAATACACCCGGCGGTGGTGGCGCACACCTTTAATCTCAGCACTCAAAAGGCAGAGGCAGGCAGATCTCTGTGAGTTCAAGGTCAGCCTGGTTTACAAAGCTACACAGAGAAACCCTGCTCAGAAAACCAAAAAACAAAACAAAACAAAACAAAACAGAAAAACAGATAATACTCAAAACTGATCAATTCCTAATTTTTTTGCTACATTTTCCTATTACAGTCCCGGCCACACTAGAACAGCTCACACCATGAAAACCAGCAAACACAGCCACGCTCCACAGCAAGATGGCTGCAGAGCATTTACTTTCACACCACTACATCAGAGGCGCGGGCGGGGCTGTCTTGTCATCACCATCTGTGTCTACCGTCATCTTCTGCTCAGATTTCCATTCACAGAAACCAATTGCTGGGTCATCACCCACAAACTAGTGAGATGTGGCCTGGAATGGTGGTACCCTCCTGTAACCCCAGCTCTCAGGGCGAGAGGGTTACCAGCCCTGGAATACGGAGCAACTTCAAAACCAGCCTGATCTACAACAAAACATCTTTTTTTGCTAGCACATGCTTTTTGTTTGTTTGTTTTTTTGAGACATGGTTTCTCTGTATTGTTTTGGAGGCTGTCCTGGAACTCACTCTGTAGACCAGGCTGGCCTCACAGAGATCCACCTGCCTCTGCCTCCTGAGTGCTGGGATAAAAGGTGTGTGACACCAATGCCTGGCTCTAACTTTTTAAACAATTTATATAAAAAATAAACTATGCAATCTTCATTGAATCTGAGCAGAGGCAAGCTCAAAATATCTGCACACGTGCGCACACACACACACACACACACACACACAGGCACACAGACCAAAACGTCCTCATTTCTTTCTCTGCTTTCTAGAAGATGGAAGAATATTTTCCTAAGGTACCCACATCCAGGGGTCACACAGGAAAGTAAGACCTAGTAAGCCAGACCTGAGAACATATTTCTACAATCCTAGCATTCCAGTGGTTAAGGCAGGAGGATCACAAGTTTGAGACAGGCTTGGACTACGCATAGCGTGCTCTGAGCCAGCCTGAGTAATAGAGAAGGACTTCTCTCTACAAAACAAAACTCCACCAACAGAAAGAACCAGACCCAAGGCCTCTCCCACAGTAGGTTAATACAGAATCAGGTCTGAAAGTCTTTCAAGGGGCTGCAGGGATGTGGGTGTGGTGGTCTGAAAGGAAATGGCCCCAAAGGGGAGTGGCACTATTAGGAGGTGTGGCCTTGCTGGAGGAAGTGTCACTGTGGGAACAGGCTTTGAGGTCTCTTTTGCTCAAGCTTCCCTCAGTGTGACACTCAGACTACTTCCTGTTGCCTGCAAGAGGCAGGACTCTCGGTGACAGCTGCAGCACCGTGTTTTCCTGTGCTTCACCATGTCCCGTCACGATGACAGCAGACTGAACCTCTGAACTATAAATTAGCCACCACAGTGAAATGAATTCCTTTATAAGAGTTATAATCACGGTGTCTCTTCACAACACTAGAAACCCTAAGTGAGACAGGAAATAGCACTGAGATATCGTTAACCATCACCTCCTGAACCCAGGGAGGAGCTCCAAAAATCCAGCCTGTTCTCCCAAGAAGTATAGAATTACAGATTTTTTTAAATTAAGAAAATTAGTATCTGGGTGTTGGTGGCGCATGCCTTAATCCCAGCACTTGGGAGGCAGAGGCAGGTGGATCTCTGTGAGTTCTAGGACAGCCTCCAAAACAATACAGAGAAACCCTGTCTTGAAAAACCAAAAAAAGAAAATTAGGGATAGAGAAAAGACTACTGAGGCAAACTCGGTAAGCTTTTTCCCAAGTGCCTCAGTAATGAAGCCCAACAAGCAAGCTATGGCCAGAAGACAGACCTTTCATCCAGTGAGGACACCCAGAACACTGAGACAGGACAAAAGCATATCAAAGAAAAGCTCATTGGAAAAAAAAACAGATCTAGAGCCGGGCGTTGGTGGCACACATCTTTAATCCTAGCACTTGGGAGGCAGAGGCGGGCGGATTTCTGTGAATTCGAGCCCAGCCTGGTCTACACAGCAAGTTCCAGAACAGCTTCCAAAACAATACAGAGAAACCTTGTCTCGGAAAAAAAAAAACAAAAAACAAACAAACAAAAAACAGATCTAACATATTATAAGTTATTGCATAAGGTTGCTGCATGCCTGTAAATACCATTTTCATCATTATCTTGTCACTGGAGGACAGTAGTCACCTACAGACCGACACCATGGCTGACCCCTACTTTGAGTACATAGAGGATCCTGGGGACTCCTAAACTCTAGAGCTGTTTTGGTGTGCACGGCTGTGTCACTTCCTAGGTAAGCCCGGGGATGCTGAAAAGTGATCAGGACGCTGTTGAGGGTCCCAGGACAATGGCTAAGACAGTTTTCCAATCTGTGCTTCCCCAGCTCTAGGGAGGAGCTCAGCCCCTTTGATGTCCATCCCCACCCCTGCCTGACAGTGCCCTGTGTCCTATTAGAGCCCCACACTCTCTTCCTCCCTCCCTCCCTCCCTCCCTCCCTCCCTCCCTCCCTCCTTTCCTCCCTCCCTCCCTTCCTCCCTCCTTCCTTCCTCCTTCCTTCCCTCCCTCCATCCCTCCCTCCCTCCCTCCCTCCTTTCCTCCCTCCCTCCCTTCCTCCCTCCCTCCCTCCCTCCCTCCCTCCCTCCCTCCCTCCCTCCTTCCTTCATCCAGTCACTTTCTCAAGCACTGAGCTCACAGTGACTCTAAAAGGCGGGTTCCTGCCTAAGCAGCTGAAACCCTAGTGACAAAGCCTCGCCAAGGGGAAGCCGGGCTGCCCCTCCACAGAAGAGTGTGCGGAGCTCGCTAGAGGCCCTGAGTCTGATGCCCGACACCCGCAGTCTGCAAAGTGGTCGTTGGCAACAGAAACAAAGGCAGCGATTGATTGATTGATTGATTGATTGATTGATTGATTGATTGATTGCTTGAACATGTAGGCAATAATGACCTGGAGATCTGACTGACCCTCAGACGCAGAAGGGAGACATACAGAAGTGAAGACCAGAGCTTACTTTAACAAAAAGTCGTGGAGGGGACTGCTGCAAAGGTGACCTCTGTTGCTTCTGCTCCAAGCCCCGCTGCTCCCAGCGCCTGGCAGTCACCAAGGGAAGACATAGAGACGGTGACTGCGCTCACTCATTGAGGAGGGGGGTCCCCCAAAACAGCCCCTCTGTGATTATTAAGAACGTGCGGAGGAAATCAGGGAGAACGGGAAGCCTCGTTAACACAGGGAGCACCCGCAGCTCCCAGGGAGGGGTGACTGGAGGTCAGGGGAGGAGCCTACACTGCTCTCCAGGCTACAAGACTCTAAGCAATGGGCCCTCTGCAGCAGGAGGAGATAAGACTGTGTAGTCAGCGACCCCAAGAGTGGGAGACCTGTGTCAGCCTCTCTCAGTCGGGGAGGGCAGGGCGTGGCCTCATCAAAGGCTTTGGGCCGAGACCCTCCTCTCTGATTCCCCATTGGGTCACTGGCTGCCACGGCTCGGCCAATAAGGGACAAACGGGATGAGCTGTTGATTTTTTCCCCCTCCTGGCCATTGAGAGTTTGCCCACATAAATGCCCTCTCCTCAACTCCTCTGCACTTGGCCCTGAGCTGGCCCCGGTTCCCTGGGATGGGCAGGGTCGTGGGGCACCTGTTGGTGCTGTGGGTGGCTGCAGGCGTGTGCTATGCCACCGTCAGGGCCTCTGCCTGGTGAGTCCTTCCCGCAGCCCTCCCTCCCCACTGAGGAGGGCCAGCGGGACATCCCGCTCACCTCAGATTTTCTTCTTCTTTTTGGTAGGTCAGTGAGCAATTTCCTGGTAACAGGTCCCAAGGTAGGGCGTCTTCCAGCCCCTCCTGTTTTTACTCACTGGGGTCCCCCTGATGGACTATTCTGGGGGAAGAGTGGGGGCGGGTGTTTCGGAACCTTCCACCGAGAAATCCAGCATTGCTTAGTTCTCGGTTGGGGCTTTGGGTGTCCAGGTGCTGGGCAAGCTCTCTGCCGCCGAGCAGATGTCCCCGGGCCCCGGTCTGGTTTCTTACTGGCGAGTTATTTTATCTGAGCCTGACATGGCCCGTGTCCAGGGAAGCTCACAGCCCGTTCCCCCTGTCACAGGCCTATTTGACCTACACCACCAGCGTGGCCTTGGGCGCTCAGGCTGGCATGGAAGAGTGTAGGTTCCAGTTTGCTTGGGAGCGGTGGAACTGCCCCGAGCACGCTTTCCAGTCCTCGACCCACAACAGGCTGAGAGGGGGTAAGTTTTCCTTGGGACCTCTGCGCAAGGTAGGCTTGCAGTACGGGCGTGGGTGAAAGGCGTGTGCACGGTGAAATGTGACTGTAACTCTGTGTGTGTGTGTGTGTGTGTGTGTGTGTGTGTGTGTGTGTGTGTACAACTTGGGGGAGTTTGTTCTCTACTTCTACCCTGAGTTTGGGGTTGAACTCAGGTCAGGCCATCGGGCTTGGATGCTGGTGCCCTCACCTGCTGAGTCATCCCACAGGCCCTAGGAGTGTTCTGAGGGTTGGGTGAAGGGAACAGAGGGGTCTTACCACAAATGCTATTTGTAGGGTTAAGGCATGTCTGCCTTTTGTGCGCTTATTCATACTCACCTTGCTCTGATGTGCATGAAATGAAGTAAAAAAACGGAGAAAGGCATCCGTGGAGCCCTTGAAGGATTTATATTTGCCCCATTATCATAAAATCCCAGTGACAATAAAGTCACAAGATCTGAATGAGTTTGCCTCAGGTGACTGTGAGTGTGTGTGTGTGAGATATGTGGGGGTGTGTATGTGTGATTTGTGTATGTGTGTTTATATGTATGCATGATGTGCATGAGTGTGTGATGTACATGTTTTTGTGTGTGATATATGTGTATATGTGTGTGTGTATGATGTATAAGTGTGTGTGACGTGTGTGTTTGTGTGTATGTATGTGTGTGTGACGTGTGTATTTGTATGTGTAGGGTGTGTGCATGTTTGATGTGTAACTATATGGGTGTGTGTGATATATGTACATGTGTACTTACGTGTGTGTGATGTATATGTGTGTGTATGTGTATGTGTGTGGTGTGTATAGTTTGTGTGGTATATATGTGTATGTACATGTGTGCGTATTGGTGTATATGTATGTGTGGGTGCCCGCACATGCTTACAATTAGATGCAGGAATTTGCGTGGGAAACCTTTCTGTGGAAACAACAGAGCTGCTGAGAAGAGTTGGGGATAAAGGAGAGAAGCATTCCTCCATGTGGGACACGCAGGCACACTAGGAGGTGTCTGTAAGATGAGATCCGGGGGTCTGGGGCATGGCTCAGTGGGCAAAGCGTTTACTGCTCAAGGATGAGGACCTGGTCAGGACCGGGGTGTGGTGGCTCACATCTGTAATCCCGTCTCTCAGAAACAGAGACGGGACGATCCTGGGGCCTTACTGACCAGCCAGTGAGCTCCAGATTCAGTGAGACCCTGTGAAAGTGAGACAGCCTGTGTGGAGAGGAAGACACCTGATGTTCAACTTGGGCCTCTACACACACAGACACATGCACCCATATGCACATGTGTGTACACACACACACACACACACAGGCACATGCTCCCATATGCACAGGTGTGTATACACACACAGGCACATGCACCCATATGCACATGTGTGTACACACATACACACACACAGGCACATGCTCCCATATGCACAGGTGTGTATACACACACAGGCACATGCACTCACATGCACATGTGTGCATACACACACAGGCACATGCATCCATATGCACAGGTGTGTATACACACACAGGCACATGCACTCACATGCACATGTGTGCATACACACACAGGCACATGCATCCATATGCACATGTATGTATACACACACACAGGCACATGCACCCATATGCACATGTGTGTACACACACACACACAGGCACATGCTCCCATATGCACATGTGTGTACACACACACACACACGCAGGCACATGCACCCATATGCACATGTGTGTACACACACACACACACAGGCACATGCTCCCATATGCACAGGTGTGTATACACACACAGGCACATGCACTCACATGCACATGTGTGCATACACACACAGGCACATGCATCCATATGCACATGTATGTATGCACACACACAGGCACATGTGCACACACACACTATATGCCTGGCCTCCCTACTCTGTGTTCAGAAATAAAGGGTGTCTCGATTGCCTGCTCCAGCTTTGTGTCTGGGTCTATATGCCAGAAGACAGAGGTCTGGACTTTAGGAGAGCAGAGTCCTGATTCGAAGCCACAGCTGGCCAGTGGCCTTCGCTTCAGGGCTCCCTGAGCTTCAGTTCCCCCTCTGCAGTGTGGGATGCCCATCCCTGCCCGGATGGAGGGAGGAGGGAGGAAAGGCGTGGTGAGCTCTGAGGGGAAGGCGACCTTAGATCCCGAGGAGCCACATTTCAAGCCGGAGCCCCCTCTTTCTCTCTAAAGCCACAAGGGAGTCATCCTTCATTCACGCCATCCGCTCTGCTGGAGTCGTGTACGTCATCACCAAGAACTGTAGCATGGGTGACTTCGAAAACTGTGGCTGTGACGGGTCAAAAAATGGAAAAGCGGGTAACTTGGGCTGTGGTGGAGGTGGGAAGAGGGGGGCTACAGTGCAGACTGGGTTTTCTCACGTCTGGGGCACTCAGTTCTCTGGAATCCCTAGATTTTAGCAGTCCCTTCACACGGGCGGGCGGGGGAGTTCATGGACTGCCCAGGGTTGAGTTTGCATCCCTGAGACCAGGAATGAGGAAGTCGAATCCTGTGTCCTCAGCCAAAGCTCCCCAACTATTTACAGACCCCTACCAGACTTAGACCTGTCACCAATGGGGGTAAAGGGGGCTCTGACACTATTGTCCAGGTACAGAGGTCCAGGATGTTTGGGCTACAAAGAGCCCTCTGAGGCCACGCAACCATGTTCCCTGTGGGTACAGAGGGCTTACCACCTAGAGCTGAGAAATGCCCAGAGTGGTCTTTGGGTATAGGAGCCTCCCCATCCTCCCCAAACACCTCCATTTCTCCACCTTACCTTCGGCTCTTTCCCTGGGCTCTAGCTGAGCTTCCCATGCCCGGTGTGAGCAACTCTTCCTTTCCCTGCCTGTAGGTGGCCGTGGCTGGATCTGGGGAGGCTGCAGCCACAATGTGGAATTCGGGGAAAAGATCTCCAGACTCTTTGTGGACAGCCTGGAGAAAGGGAAGGATGCCAGGGCCCTGATGAATCTTCACAACAGCAGGGCCGGCAGGCTGGTGGGTACAGCAGTCCCTCGTAGTCACCCAGAGCTGTCCCACACCCAGGTTTCATCACCCCCCCCCACACACACACACACGCCATTCAGGAAGGACGGAGGCAGAACCAGTGAAGTCCCAGACAAATGGCTTGTCCAAGACAACACAGTTGACAAGCCTCGGACCTCGTGTCCTTGCGTTGTGCGTTGTTTTTAAAACAATAATTTATTTTTATTTCATGTGCATTGGTGTTTGTCTTGCATGCATGTCAGTGTGAAGGCGCTAGACACCCTGGAACTGGAGTTACAGGCGGTTGTGAGCTGCCATGTGGGTGCTGGGAATTGAACCCAGGTCCTCTGGAAGAACAGCCAGTGCTCTTAACCACTGAGCCATCTCTTGAGCCCTACATTTTAATACCCTTTTTTGGTGTGTGTATGCGTGTGGGTGCGTGTGGGTGCGTGTGGGTGTTCTCCAAAATGTGGTCTTTTGGGGGCATCCCTGGCTTGCCTGGTTCTTCACTACGTCCTTGAACTCACAGCAATCCTCCTGCCTCAGCCTCCATGAGCCGCTGGGCCTCAGAAGATTTTAACCACTTTAACTATGTGCTAAGACACTAACACAGGCCCATTATCATCCTAGAGTCTGTGATTTGAGAGTTTGGGACCATAGAGTCTCTTCTTCAACAAGTTTTATCCGACGGAGTAGCACTGTGAACTCCTATCTGGAAGCAAGTTGGGCTTAGGACAGAAATGGTTGAAATTTTCCTGGGTGTCCCAGTCACCGAGGGCAGAGGGGGCACTTGGGAGCTAACTACAGCCCCTGCCTTGAGGGTACACGGGTTCAGATCCCTTCTCTCTGAGAGGGTGTAGGGGAACCAGAGGGAGGCTAACGGGGCACAGAAGAACCAACCACTGCAGATAGTCTAGCTCCAGGCTTCACAGCAGACACTGTTTTAGGTAACTTCTTCATGACTTACAGAGTGTTTCTTTGGTTGTTGTTATTATGTTTTCAGTCTTTGAGGTGCTGGAGACTAGACTGTGGGCCTCACACATGCTAGTCAAGCCCTCTGCCCTTGAGTTATGTCATCAGTCCCCATCTTACCCAATATTTGTTCCAACTGGCTGGAAGTGATGGGGTCGGGCCGTGAGCCTTCCTTAACCCCTGAATGTCCTCCTTGGGTAGATGTGAAGAAGGACTTAGGGGCATCCCCAATAATCCCCACAGGTCTCCAAAGCTAGAAAACACAGCTCCAGCTCTAGAATTTTCCATTTGGTTGCTAATCACTGGCCTTCTCCACCAAAAGTTATTCTTTGGTCTCTCTCTCTCTCTCTCTCTCTCTCTCTCTCTCTCTCTCTCTCTCTCTCTCCCTCCCTCCCTCCCTCCCTCCCTCCCTCCCTCCCTCCCTCCCTCCCTCCCTCCCTCCCTCCCTCTCTCTCTCTCTCTCTCTCTCTCTCTCTCTCTCTCTCTCTCTCTCTCTCCTGCCCTGCCCCCCCCTCTCTGAAGGCAGTGAGGGCCTCCATGAAAAGGACCTGCAAATGTCATGGCATCTCAGGAAGCTGTAGCATCCAGACTTGCTGGCTGCAGCTGGCCCACTTCCGGGAGATGGGAGACTACCTAAAGGCCAAGTACGACCGCGCGCAGAAAATCGAGCTGGATAAGCGGCAGCTGAGCGCTGGCAACCGAGCAGAGGGCCGCTGGGCGCCCACAGAGGCCTTCCTTCCCAGCGCCGAGGCTGAGCTGGTCTTCTTGGAGGACTCACCTGACTATTGCACCCGCAACGCCAGCCTGGGCATCCAGGGCACCGAGGGACGCGAGTGCCTGCAGAGCGAGCGCGGCGCTCCCCGGCGGCAGCAGCGCAGCTGCGGGCGCCTGTGCACCGAGTGCGGGCTGCAGGTGGAGGAGAGGAGCACCGAGGCCGTGAGCAGCTGTGGCTGCAGCTTCAAGTGGTGCTGCACGGTCAGGTGCGACCAGTGCAGGCGCGTGGTGAGCAGGTACTACTGCACGCGCCCCGAGGGTGGGGTCCGGCCTCGGGGCAGGGGCAAGGGCCGCGCTCGATAGCACACACACACACACACACACACACACACACACACACACACACACACACACACACACACACACACACAAATCCACTCGCTGCTCAGCGGCACGCCAGTGGGGGTGGGGGCCCCAGCCTCTGGCCTGGAAGACACAGACTGGAAAACGACTCGGACAGCACAGGGCTGGCCCGTAGACCTTAACGACAGCTGCCATGGATGGTCCTGCAGAGCTGAAATCTGAACCCGGTTCTCCTGGCTTGTGGACCCCACCACCACCGCGGTTCCCCGCTCAATTACTCTTGTTTGTTTGTTTGTTTGTTTGTTTGTTTGTTTTTCGAGACAGGGTTTCTCTGTGGCTTTGGAGGCTGTCCTGGAACTCACTCTGTAGACCAGGCTGGCCTCGAACTCACAGAGATCCGCCTGCCTCTGCCTCCTGAGTGCTGGGATTAAAAGGTGTGTGCCACCAACGCCGGGCTCGCAGTTACTCTTGAACTGATGCAGCTTCGTAAAGGAGGAGATTGACTTGGGGTGCACACCCAAAGGACCCTCGAAGAACTTGTTCCATTAAGTTTCAGACCCCGTCCGGTCCAGCTGTCTGCTGGGAGTTAGAGGGAAGAGAGGCAAACGCCTCTGGTGGCACTGGAGAGACAGCTCGGGGGTTCGGAGCCCTCACTTGGCTGGCCCTTCCAGGTGCCCACACTGGCTGAGAGCCATCTGTACTCTAGTTCCTAGGGGTCCGGTGTCTGCTTCCCGTCTCGTTGGCCAGCAGGCACAAATGTGCACAGACATACCTGCGGGCCAAACACCTATGCATATAACATAATAAAGTAAAAATTAAACTTAAAAGGTGAGAGTTCTGTTCAGACCTGTGAAGAAGGCCCGCCCTGCCTCACTCCTGACCAACCGAAAGCTCGAGGTGAGGGGGCTTGGGGCCAGGACAGGCTTCTTCACTTCTGGACTTTGAAACAGCTCCCCCAGCTAAGCCTTAGGGAAGCCAAGACCTAGCATGGCCAAGGAACCATCTTTGGAGCCAAAAAATGGCAATCAGTGGGCAAGAGACCGGGACTTACCAAACAATACCCCAGAAGAGCATTTCCCTGGAGAGCCACAGAACATCTTGACTCTGCTATTGTCCCCGAATTGGAAACCCAACTTCCTTTGCAATAAACGCTTGTATCATATATCTAGATAGGGCTTTTTTATTTTTTAAGATTTATGTATTTTATGTGTATAACTGTCTTACCTGCGTGTGTGTCTGTGTGCCGTGTGCCTGTACCGTGTGGAAGTCAGAGGAGCTGGGATTACAGGTGGTTGTGAACAAGTGTCCTCTGCAAAGGCAGTCTGTGTTTTGGTTTTGGTTTGTTTCTTTGTTTTGAGACAGGGTGTGTGTGTGTGTCTGTGTGTGTGTGTGTGTGTGTGTGTGTGTAGCCCTGTCCTGGCACTCACTCTGTAGACCAGGCTGTCTCAACAACCAAGATTATATATATATTATACATATATAATATATAATATACATATATAATAACATATATATTTTTCTTGATAGATATATATATATATCAAGAAAAAATGAGGTACCAGGAATAACAACTTGCATGGATTTAAGTATGACTCAAACAGCTGGGGGAAGTGAGGAAGCCCCCTGAACTTGGACCACATCCAAAGTGTGTCTTCTCTCCCCTTAGACTGCCTAGGGTGTCACACGACCAAGACCCGGGCCCCAGGGCGGTAGACTCGGGAAGCTGTGGACTCCGCTTTCCTCACTGACTCTTCCGTCTTCCGAAGGTCGTCCCTGGGGGAGGGGTGGATTCTTCAAGAAGCCCTTTCCCCAAGCCACTAAATGACTTTCTTAACTCTGAATTTCACAGCCTTGGGAAACTCCTTGACACTGGCCCGGATCCCTGCGGGGAGGGTTAACAAGCCGGGTGGTCATCTGGAGCAGGCAGTGCTCCCAGGTCCCCCAACCCCCCAGACAGGGTTTCTCTCTAACCCTGGCTGTCCTGTAGACCAGGCTGGCCTCGAACTCACAGAGATCCACCTGCCTCTGCCTCCCCAGTGCTGGGATTAAAGGCGTGCGCCACCGCCGCCGCCACCACCACCACCACCCGGCAATATTTTTTACTTGTGCACACGAACGGCGGCCCAGCGGCTTTAGATCCCTTTGGAAATATAGTTACAGGTGGTTAAGTCACCTCTGCAAGAAGAGTGCAGATGCTTAGCTGCTGAGCACTCTCCAACTCAAATAGTTCATTTGGAGACCGTCTTCAGTCTCAGGTCGTAGTGAGGAAGCCAGCATCACAAGAGGAACCACAAAGTCTGGTCCGGCCTGACCTCCATCACTTCCCTCGTCAGAGACAAGGCACAACGGGAAATCCATAGACACACCTCTCTCCATGTCCCATTTCAAAGCTAGGGGTTAAAAACACTGGACGGTTATCCTGTCCCCCCGCTCCCCAGATAAAAATCCCATGATCCTAAGTATCGACCTGCAATAAACACGGATCTCAAAGTACCCAGCCTGACACCTAACCTGAGTTGTGATACTTAACTGTTTGGGAGATGAGAGAACTCGATTTTTTCCCCTAACATAATTCCCATCCTAACGCCTTGACATTGCTCCCCTACCTCCTGACCCTCACGCTGTATTGAAATTCCCAAATAATCTCTGGGGGTGAGGTGGTTCAAAACTACCCCCGCTGCTTTGTATAAGTGGTCACTCCAGGAGAACATGCCCTGTGGCCCCTGTGGGTTATAGAGGAGTTTTCACTAAGGAAACACAGAAAAAAGAATTCTGTGGCGAGTTTGGTGAACACCCACCCCGCAAAGCTCAGTCCGCTGGCGTCACCTTTCCGGAGTCCCTCCCACCCTCATCCATCTCGACTCCAGAGTCATCAATCATCCCACCAAACACGGTGGACCCTAGGCCAGAAACTAAAGGAATTTAGATTTCTCCACATCCATCACCTTCCTGTCAGGGACCCATCCCAGCCTCATTCAAATGCGTCAGTTACAAACCCTTGCCTCTAGGTTCATCCTGAACAAGCTGGCTGTCATTAGGGTGACAGGAGATAAAACTCACGTGTTCAATAGATTCAGGGACGGCGACGGGCGGGTGGACTCTCTCTCTCTCTCTCTCACACACACACACACACACACACACACACACACACACACACACAGCTCCCTGGATCTTGAGAACGTGATGAAAAGGGAAACTTGTCCCTGAGCCAGCATTTCACCAAGCCACGGCACGGCACGGCACCGCTTTACCTGGAAAACGGACACCTGGATTCTCTGTCCAGACTAGAAGACACACGGGCCCCATACGGCTCTTCCCCAACTAGGTTCTCCCCCTCCCCATCTGAACTCTGATGTGGTGGAATTTACAGACTCCTAAAGAAGACCACGAAGCCGTCTTCCAGAGCCTGCCGTGGTCTGCGGCTGACGTGGCCTCTGCTAGCAGTTTGAGATCGTTAGGAGCACGGGAACCACGGTGGGAAGGTACAAGTGACTAACGCTTAGCAGACCCCCTCTCCTTCAGTCTTCAGAAGATCTAATTAAGGAGGTAAAGATTACTGGGGACTCAGGGCACAGTTTAGCACGCTCAAGGCCCTGGGTTCAATCCCCCAAACCCCCTCTAGGACACCCCAAAGCTTAAGAGTTACAATCATTTCTCTCTTACAATGGTTCAGAGAGGGCAAGCACCCCAACCTAAGAAAAACAACAGGGAGGTGGATTTGAATTCAAACCTGCCCCCCTCATAAATTCAAAGTCTTCCCTTTACAACCATTTCCCCTGTAGGGAGCCCAAAATCTCCAGCAACAGTGTAAGCGTAGTGACAGTTTCATGGAGCGAGGGCCATTCATATGCAGTGAGAGATACCTTCTTCCTCCCTCTCTGCAAGTGAGAGTGTTATATTTCTCGGCCTTTCTCTCGAATGAGGGCCTTAACTTTTGATTTGCAAAAGCCTTCCTTGGAATGACAAAGCAGATGGCCCGGCACCTGCTGCCTTTGGAGGACGGGATTCTAGCTCTCCGCGGGGCACTCAAAGGCGGAAAAAAAAACCCACTGATTATTAGAGACCTCATTAGAGGTCAACATTTCCAGTGAGGGTGTCAAGGGAGGGTGTTTATTTCAGAAGACAGAGGAAGGGAAAAAACAAGCTCCCGTGGAAAACAGGGAAGCCCTAGCCGCCCGTCACAAACGGCCCGCTGTTCCCCTGGGTGACGGAAGACCCAAGGCGGAGAAGAACATGGCGTGAAAGCGGAGACCACTTCAAAGGGCTGAAATAGATCTCTGGGCCCCCTTGTCCCTCTTCTCTCCCTACCACAGGGAGAAAGAATCCCGTACAGCGGAGGAGGGAAGACTAGACCCCAGCCCCGAGCAACCTCCGAGGCTGGCGCTGGTCATCCAGACCCGGATGGGGCGACAGAAAAGGGGCGTGTGCTATCCCAAGGGAAGCAGAGACAGGGTTAGGACGCGGGTCAACGAGGGCTCAGACAGACAGGGAACTGGGGGTGTGGACAAGAAGTACAGGGGGCAGAAAGGCCTTGTTGTTGAACACCCCAGCTTTCTCAGGTTCCCCCCAAAGATGGTCGACGCCCCCAGGTCAGCAGGAAGCAGTCTTAAGAACTCAACGTCCTTGATCCCAAACCTGCCACATCTAACACCCCCACCTCTTTTTAATCGTAAATAAAGGTGAGGATGAAAGTTCATGCATTGGGCTGGCCTGCCCTGTTACCTGGCAGGATGCACTCTGGTGGCACTCTGGCCAGTCCAGAGTTCTGTGAGAACCACGCAGGTGCAAAGGACCCCTTTAAAGGACTGACCCCTGCCCACTCACACTCTCTTTTACTCTCTCCATCTCCCCTCTCTCTCTCTCTCTCTCTCTCTCTCTCTCTCTCTCTCTCTCTCTCTCTCTCTCTCTCTCTCAGCTCTGCAGGGGTTGGTTACCTCTCACCCCCTTTCCCTCCCTGTCTCCCTGTCTACCAATAAAACTCCACGTGGGATCGTTGAGTC